TTATCGTTGGTACAGTTACGGAGGTGAAGCATGCAAGAGTCCAGGTAAGTACCAAAGACATATCTAACGTTACCTGAACCAGCATGGGTTTTAACACTAGGGCCTCATCCTTCTAAGGATGACTTAAGTGTTACTAAAAATACTTCAGCTGTTGATGCTTGCTCATAGCTAACTTTATGTGGGCTCCATTGGCTAAAATGGGCACTTAGATATGTAGACACCAAATTCAGGTGTCTTAATTTGGAGCTGAATTCCACTGTGTGCCACAGGAATTTCCCAACTGAAGCTTGCCAGCTCCTTCAAAGAATGCTCAGTGTTTTGTTGCTGTTGTTTGTTTGCTTGTTTTTTTTTTTTTTTCCCCAAGAAAGCTGTTTCCTACTATGTAATTGTAGAACCAAGACCATGATTGTGGCATAAATACTACTCTGCTATCTCTAACAGAGAGACACACCAAGCTAAACTTGACCCCACAGTCTAAGCAGCTGAATTTTGCCTAATTGTACTTTGAACCTGTTTGCACGCTCCTGTTAAATACATGATTTAACATAAGTAAAACTGCCACCCTCAGGCTCTGTGTTCCCTGTATATATGATATATAACACAATCAGGGTCATAGGCTGATTTGTGAGGCAGAAATACTGCAAGATGCAACTAAATACTTCGTCAACACTTCAGACACAAACCCAAACTCCAAACTGCACAACTTTTCTTCCTCTCCACCACTATGTTTCAGGACAGGTTGCTTCCAAACATTTATTTACATCATCCTGTCTCCCAGATTAACTTACTCACAAGACTGGGCCTTTTGATTTTACGAGTCTGCAGACTCTTTATCTTCCCATTGGCTTTACCTATTATAATTCCATTGGTTAAAAGAAGAAGTTAACCATTAGTTAAAAGAAGACAAAAACCAACACAACTTTAGAAAAATATTTTGAATCACATAAAGTTTATTTACTTAGTAGAGAAAAGTTATATTACAATATATACAGTTTCTATTTACATATACACCTTTCTAATTAATGAAGCACCATATGATACAGTTAGTGTTTTAGAGGAATTTACAGCAATTTTATTTTTGCACCCAAATACTTCTATCTACAGACGCACATTGCTTAGAACCAAGTTCATTTAAGACACTGACTTTAGTGGGTTTTGGATTAGGCTGCTAATGAAGCTACCAAAGAGAAATTTAATTGCTGTCAGCCATCAATCTCCTATGCTTCAGGATAAGAGATCTTAGCTACGTCATTTCTGAGGATATGTGCAAAATTAACATCAGAGAAAGTCAAGAGGTACAGAAAGAAGATATATTATAAGCCACAAGAATTCAACACTCTCATCAGAAAGATTTTTATGGTTACCAGAAAGAATTTCATTAGAATGGAAGAAAGAACAGTGTGTAAATGTTTATACACATTATGCAAAGTGAAGTTAAGAACCCGGAAGCTTATGTGGCACACTATCATGAATTCTCCAAGGAATCCATTTATTATTAAAAAGCCCAGTCTTATTCCTACCAAAGTTTGTGGCATTATCCCCTAAACTCAAAGGGAAAGACTAGCTGTTCTCTTCGTAATCTCCATGCCACTGTTAAGAAAAAAAGAAGGCTCTGTCCAAGGTACAGTTTCCTTCAAGTGAATAAAAGACATTTGGAGAGGGGGAAATGTCAAATGAGGTATTCAATAAACTACAGGAAAAACAAAAGCACTTAGTTTTGAAAAAATCTTAGATATTTTACATATGCAATTATTACATTCACCTGATTGTGGGTCAAGTTTTGTATGAACTACATACCTTTTGGGCAACACAAATCATGCATTTCATATTTTTGCTTCGCTAGATGCAGGATCTAACTGCTGGAAGAAAGCGTTGTTACTCTGAGGACAGTTACTATGGCAGACACAGGTGTTGATCAACATCATCGGCTTTTTTAGGAATTTGCCCTGAGGACAGCGGAACTCAACTTGAATCGTTTTGGTGTTGTGTGGAGTACAGCATCGCCCATCACTGCAGAGGCCACAGTAACGCGGTTTGTACATCTGCACACTAGTGCAGTTCTTGTATTCAAAGCGAACAGCTTTCAGGGACTTCTTCGTTCGGATACATTTTTTCCCTTTCTAAGAGAAATATGAAAAGACATTAGATATAACATTGCATAAAACAGAAAGCAGTTAAACATTGACAATCAGGGATATAGGTCTACTCTGAAAACTGAAATTTGTTCTTTGCTAGTTCTACATCAGTAGGACTTTGCAGTTATTTCAATAGTTACTTACTGGTTCTCATCCCTGCAAGTTCTCACCTTGATGTCGTTATTGGCAGAGTAATAAGTGACAAATAATTAAAGCCCACTGTTGTCATCTGAGGCAAGACAAGCCAACATTCATTATGAAAATTGGAAAAAAATTCTCAGGTGACTGTAGTTCCATCAGAAAATGAGGAAGCCAAACAACCAAGTTACAGGACTCGATTCAGGAAGAAAAAAGAAAGCTAAAACAAACCTCTGAAGACTTGCCCCAATCTTGAGACCCAAGACAGAACCAACTTTATCCAAGTTATTCTTAACAGATGCCTGTCTAACTTGTCCTTGAAGTCTTCAGTGACAGAGACGCCACAACTGCACTGTACAATCCAGGTTCACTATTCTTACCACGTGGAAGGTTTTCTCTTGTCTTAGTTTTCTTGCAGTCTAAGCTCATCCCTTCTTGTCATGTCCACCATGGACTCAGCACAGTTATGGGAACTCATGTGTGTTCCCTTGTTTTCAGAAAAAGTGCAGTTTAATCAATTTTTCATTAGAAGAATGTTTTCTAGACCTCTGACCATTCCTGTTAATCTCCCTGACTCTTTCCAAATGTTTCACATCCTTCTTATACACGGCATTCAAAACTGCATAGAGTATTCAGCAAAGCAATGCTAAAGCCTTAGCAACGCTTTCCAATGTAGGAACATTACAAAACCGATGGTCTCTTCCCTAACTAGATGTTATTCTCTCTGACAGCCAACACTTGCGTAAGGTGTAGTAGCAGCAAAAAAAAACTCAGCTCCCTTAGAAACACATTTATTGCCCCTTAAGTGTCAGGGTTGGGTTTGCTTTTGGCAAAGCATCATAAGGACTAAGAAAAGGTTTAGTTTACCCAAGCAGATTTTGCAGGATTTCACACATTTCTCTGCAGTTCTAAGATGCTCACTGAACTAGAAATCTGATCTGTTTGGGATGGCTCAAATGATGTGCAGCACAAAGCTGCTGAACATATGTGGCAAATCTAATGCTTTTCAAACATAATGGGCTTGCTGCCCATATGCTAAAAGGTGTATTTGTACACACTTGTACCTGGAGCATTCTAGACTCTAATATTGCAACTGTAGCATCGCAGCTGAAGAGATCCTGCTCCCTGTCACTGCTTGCAGCTTACCTTATCAGATGGCGCTTCGTTTTCACAAGGTCTCATCATGCAAAGGCGTGTCTGCTTCACCATCTCACACTGCTGATTTCTGTTGGTGACACGGGTGGAAAAGCCCATTCCACAGCTTTTGGAACAAGCGCTCCATTCTGTCGTCTGTTCAATACAATTGGCACTTGAATCAGACACATCGATCCCAAGTGTGGCCTCCTGTCTGTATGCTGGAGACAAAACCCCACAGAACTTTATTACAGGAAAAAAACTTATGTGAAAGCCCAGTAACTAACTGACCTCTACCACACGTGGGACAAAACAAGAGACCAAGACAAAAGTCCAAAATTCATGCTTTAGGAATTTTAACACCTGCTTGTTTAAGAGCCCTTGATGGTTACTTCCTACATCTAAAAGTCAACTGAAAGGTGCATGCCATCAGAACAGTGCTTCAGCTCGTCATTAATCATCATTCTTTCCAATGGAAACATATTACAAATCTGTTCTAAAGCTGTCACAAAAATATTTGTATTAGATATGACTTGAGAGAGGTTGGATGATTCATCTAAACTAATAAACAGCAGGGAAGTAAACTGCTGTATTCCCACAGTCATAAAGTAACGCAACCTTGTCAACTATTGACAGATTATAGATGGGTGATAGAGGGGAGGAAGGAAGGAAGGAAGGAAGGAATTTCCAGCTGTTAGCAGTTGCTCAAAGCCACCACCAACTCTGAATACCTGTTCTGCCCTCATGGATGTGTTAAGCTGTATTATGCAAATATTGCTAACTTATATAGTTTGGTTCAGCAGTTATCATATGAGCAAACAGAATGCTGTCTCAGTCACATGAGACAGTCACATGAATTTTCCTGCATTACTCCCACAGCTTTGGCTGTTAAGCTTCCTTAGAAATGCATTTTTGTCTTTTGAAAGATAAAGATCCAAAAAGGTGGCTTTCCAAGACAGATGGCCACTGCTAGAAAGAATCCAGATAATCAATCTGTAGGCATTACAAGGATTACCTTGTCAGTCAAAAATAAAAAATAAAAAATCAAAGAAAATGAAAGATAGTAGAAAGTCAGCAAGCTTTTCATTTACGTTTTATGTGTCTTACATCCGACACTTTGGAGAATTCTGAAAACTTGTTAGAACTTTTCTTCCTGGATCATTCTTTAATTGTTTTTCAAATGGATTAGCTGAGTTTCAGCATAAGTAACTCCTTAACACCACAAAGAGCAGTGACTGGAAGAGAATGCAGAGTCCTCTACTCTCAGTAAAAGTAGCTTGCGAAAATTCATGTTGAACTGATAGCCTGATTTAAAGGGGAGGGACACGTAATTCAGTAAGAAAACAGGTAAAAACATTACGTAGTCTATTTTTTTTTCAATTATGAAAGCACTTTGAGTTGTGTTTTGGAATTTTTTGTTTTCAGATCCGCTTGCTGTATTTATAACTACTGCTTCTCCAAGTATTTTGTAATGTTTTTAAGGCCAACAATAATGATGAGAGCTCTAGCACAGACAGAAAGGAATTTGTTGGCATTTTAGCTACCAGGCTGACCACTTGTAATAGCTGGGGAATTTCGGGGGGGTAAGGGGAGGGGAAGTCTTTTGTAGACTAAGCTGTTAGAGTGGTATTTATGATGTAACATATCCTTGCAGGGCAAACAGCAAGACTGCAGTTTTGAGTACAGGGGCAAAATAATGTTTGGAGGATTATGAGTTTGTCCCTGTTTTATTCCACTCACAGAACTACCCCGTAGCAGACAATCAGAAATCCCAGAACTGGAAACTAACACAGGTAAACTACATTTTAAAACTGTGGTGCACATTCATCCTCTGACTATCCTTTACCTATTCCTTCATAACCTTTACATTCATAACCTTTATTGATGTGTTATACTTACTGGTCACTCTAGAGGAGGAAAACTCAAAAAGAAGGAGCACAAAGCAACATGTTTTAGGATTGTGCAAGCCCATGTATATCACAGTATATCACCTTCTCCCACAGTGTGATCATAAGATTTAGTTTCCTCACCAGCCATAGCAAACCCTCCCAAAATCACTTCGTCCTTCGGGTCACAGATCCACTTCTCGCAGCACTCTCCGGGCACTTCAACCTTCCTGGGGAAGGGGCAGTCCGGGCCGGGGAGCAGCAGGTCGAGGTTGCAGCGGGGCAGGCAGCCGATCTGCCCGTCCCGGCAGGTGCACTGGTACTTGCAGCTGGGCTGGAAGGTCTCCCCGTTGCGGTAGATCATCCCGTCGAACACGCAGTTATCCCCTTCCAGCACTGCCGAGGAAAATGAATTAAGATCACCCCGACGGCACGCTCAGCACCCTCCCACCCCTCACTGCCGGACCCCGGGGGTCTCGCTTTTTAACCCCCCCCCTTTTAAGCGGGGAGCCGCAGGCTGGGGGCACTGCCCGCGGCCCCCCGCCCGCCTTACCCATGCAGATGCCGGTGTCGCCGCTGTCGTCGGGGCCGCGGTCGCAGTAGAGGCCGCCGCTCTCGTCGCAGGGCAGCAGCGGGGAGCAGCTCTCGCCTCGCTGCCGGGCGCACACCGGGCAGCAGGAGCAGCCGTCCAGCACCGCCGGCACCCCCGGGGGGCAGCGCGGAGCCTCCCCCGGGCACCCCCCGCTGCACGGCCGGGGACACGCCGCCTCCCGGCCGCCCACCTAACGGGGAACAAAACGGGGAAAAATCGGGTCAGGGCGGCGGCGGCTCCCCCCTCTGACAGCCCCCTTGTAGCCCCGCACTTGCCTCGCACAGGCGGAGGAGGAGCGGCAGCAGCAGGGCGGCCAAGCCCTGCCCGCCGCCCGGCACCATGCTCCCGGCCGCCGCCTCCCCGCCGAGCTGTGGCGGCAGAGCCATTGCGGCCGCTTTTATAAGAGACGGCGGGGAGCGATTTCCACCCCCCTTTTCTCCGTCCCGCCGGAGGCGGGGAGCTGGAGCTGGAGCTGGAGCCGGGCTCGGCTCCCCCCGGCTCCTCCTGCCCCTCAGCGCCGGGCCCTGGCCCGCCATGACCCGCAGAGGGCCCGGCCCCGCTCCCCCTGAGGCCCTCAGTGTGCCCCATGAGCCTTGCAGGTGTGACACCCCCTCGTCAATAAACTCATTTTTCAAGTTTTTAAGCACTGCTTGTTGCCACAAAGCATTGGCTTGCTGGGTTCAGGGCTGCACAGCGAGCTCCTCACTCTCTGTGCAACGTGAGGGGGTGATGGAGAATAAGGACTGACACAGCCACGGTACAGCATGGGGTGGTGATTTGGACATCACACACACACAGCCATGCTTACACTGGCCTCACCTGGGCACGCCGACACATCAAGCCTCAGGAGTGCTTTGGAGAAGTAGCTCCAGTGTGCGGTTACCTGAGTGGTATCACAGAACCACAGAATGGTTGAGGTGGGAAGGGACCTCCAGAGATCATGCTCAAGCAGGGTCACCTGGAGCATGTTGCACAGGATCACATCCCTCTGGGTTTTGGATATCTCCAAAGGAGACTCCACATCCTCTCTGGGTGGAGTCTCCTGCTCCACTGCTCTGTCAGATGGTACGTGCAGTTACCTGAGTGTAGGTACCTGCAGTGATATAGGCAGAGCTTATGGGAGACTAAACCTGTTATCTCTGTCAGAAATTATCTTCTGCCCAAGGCAGGTGGCCTTGTGTCTCTCTAGGATATAGATGTTCTCCATCCACAGTTGTCTGAGGCAGGTAATACGCACTGGGTTCTGTTGCGGCTTGTTAAAGAAAAAAATATTTGAAAAATAAACAGAGGTTGTAGACAGGCTAGTGAAAACAGGACGCCTTTTAAGCCTAAGACATGACACAAGTGGTACTCATGAATTTACAAGGCTGCTGTCACTCTAAGCCAAAGCAACGCTCAGTGCAGAACCAGCTATCACCAAAAGCAAGTTTTGTTTTGAACAAAAGTCACCTTGCCTTTCGTGATGCTGCGTGGGAACAGCTGGGTTTCTGGAAAAGGCTGTCATCTGGGCAAAGGGGAACATAGGGGTGTTCAAACCTTACTAACAGCTTGGTCATCAGTTTGAGGTTATTTCAGTTATCCACTGCCACAGAGGCCATTTCAACTTCCTTATCTCCTTTTTTTGTCCTCTTGCTTCTTTGCTTTCTTCTCCAATTTAGGCAATCGGTATAAAGCCATTTTTATAGTACCTTGCTTGTGAACAGAAGGACCAATGCTATTGGCCAAGCTGATGTTGCATTTTGCTAAAAAGAAGCACTGTTGTTCCTGTGGTCTTCCCAGAAGCAAGGCTGTAAGCCAGAGGGGCACGTGCAACATCTGTTTTTGCCTGTCCCTCTCTGTGTGACTCTGATGAGTTTTTTGGTGGCAATAATCACAGCCACGGAAAGTTACCTTCCCTTTAAATGAGATTACTTCACTCTTAAATATATTCTAGTCTATAAAAAAATGTTTCAGCACATAAAACTGCAGAGAGAATAAAAGAATATTTACCAGCATAGTTAATTTTGAAAAATCAACTGCTTTATCTTTATTCGCTATATTTATTATGGTGCCATTTTCTTATAAAATACCAGTTATAAAAATAAGGCGATACTGCAGTTTAGTGCTGTAGGGACAAATTCCTTTTTCCAGACATTTCTGCCCCCAAAAAGCAGGCATAATTTGGACTCTTTTGGAATTACCCATTCTAAGATGCTGTTTCATCTTTCTGGAAGTGAATCTTTTTGTCTGTACTTGTTTTACAACTCTTTTAAGGCTGACATAATTTTTTCATATGAAAGCGCCCTTTGTTATTATTCAGAATAAAATAATGATCAGGTGGATGGTTTTATTGCTGGCTCAGCTGACAATGAATAGCACTTACTCATGCTATAAAACTAGTACATGCAAATGAATATTTTAGTTTCTCTGGGTTTGCTTTTTTATACTACTCTGTTTAATTAGGTTAATATTTGGGCTGCCACCTTGGGTCTTGGTTTTGCAAAGAATAATATGTAAAAAAATTAAGAAATTAAATTAAAGAAATTAACTCTGTTCTTCACTTTGCAGGAAGACACGGTTGACGAACAGTGTTGAGAAGCGTGAATTCAGGAACAGAGTCCAGGAGTACAATTCCAACTCCAAGTATAAACATAAGGGATTTCCCAAGCCAAGGTCACAGGCAAGAAAAGTCTTGCATGGTACCTAGTAAAAGGAAAACAAGCTGGTTATCTACAGTTTCTAACTCTTAGGGATATAACCTGTACAGGTGTGTAAGATGCTAACTAGGGGCCATGCAGAACGAACACTGAAGTGTTCTCTAATCTTAGCTTTAAAATTAAGCTGCTAATTGCTGTGAATGCTTAAGCAAGCCAGATAATGTGTCTTAAGTTGCACTTAAGCATTATTGAAGCACAAAGTGCTTCCCAGATATCTTTTCTTTCTGGAAGTAATACAGCTTTGCATTTTTGTGCAGAGAACATATGCCCAATCTCATCCACAGCTGTGTTCTCCTTTGCCTTTGCAGGCAAAGATTTCTCCCTCTGGATTTCCATCTCTGCCTTGGGCTAAACCTCTAGCAGTGCTGTCTGGACATGATGTTTCACTCAGGTCTTTATGTCCATAGAGCTAATAACATTCAATATGTCACTTTTACCCAGCCTGTTTACTTGCACAGCACAGGATTGTTTATGGCCTCTGTCTAAAATACTGGAAGCAGAGGTTACAAATAAAGCTGGTTTTAACTCCTACAGATTTTATGGTTCTGGATCCTATTCCTATCCAGTGGTACCTAGGTATGTAACAGACTTTAAAAACATTCACAGCAACATCCCTCTTTTTAAAGCTAGCCACCTGTCGAACCTCCTGTAAAGGCCACAGTCCCACAGAATTTTTACTTTTACATTTACAATACAATTTTTAACATTTACAGTTACAATATTTTTCATGAAATTTTCAAGCTAGTTTTAGGTAGTCCTCCATTTAGTCCTGCTCCACTTAGATGACAGCTTGAAATCCAAAATATACATTACACTTGACATACTAATAACTAATAACGAAACAGTAGGCTTGATAACAAACCTGTTCCTTTTGCCTTTTTTCCTCTCCACATGAGAGTTTCTTCACCCAGAAATGAAACTGGTGTAACTAAAACAGTCCTAACTGTCTGAGCTGGTAGAGATGCTTTGAGGTATGTACCACAGTCACTGTGTTTCAGAGGAGATCTGTCCAAGATGCAAGGGGACTCTCCTCCATTTGTCTGTGGTTATATCACTAGTCTACATGGCTAGAATTTTGAAGCTGCTGTTTGACTTTTTGTTGTTGTTTGTTTATCCTCAGCATTTGAGGCTTTAATATTGATTGATGGTGTGGTTAATCTTGAAGGTGATACCTGAGCTACAAATATCAGACTCAGATGCTGGTGACATTATTACTGATGTCAGTGTTAATGAACAGTTTTAATTCTTATTGAGCTTCTTATCAACAAAATATGAGAAGATTGCTTCCCGTAAAGAGCTACACAAGTTCATGAAGAGTCCCTTCAGCTCTATGCCAAGACTGAGTGTTTCCTATTCACAGTGGGATACCCGTTGCCATTAGGCAACAGAACTATGTTCATAGAATAGGTTCTGTATTTTGATACATAGATCCTTTTCAGTAGGATCTAGAGGATAGCATCAATACCTAGAAGATGCACTGAGTACCCCACTGGAAATATTCTGAGAAGGAAAATAGTACTGAACCAAAAAAGCTCTTAAGGTCTGATCAGCTTAAATATTATCAAAGGAGCTGTTCACCATTGAGTAAAACCATCTGTTCCTGAAAGCATCTGTTCATGCTGAGGAAGTTTACTGATAAACCTCTTGCATATATCATGACTGGGACGGTGAAGATAGGTCAGACCACTGGAGGTCAATATGACTGTGTGTGTTCTTGCTGAGTAAACCAGGCCAGAGGATTTTCCCCACTAGTACCTGCAGTGAACTCAATGACTTCTCTCTTCAAAAGGAATTCCGTTTCACCTAAAAGATGGATATTCCAGAAAAGCAGCTGTTTTCTTCCATCTTTAACACTGTTTCTTGTATAATTCTTTTAAGTAGGATTTAAGGTGTAATCGTTTTTCTAATGACAATATTATCAGAATCAGCCCCTCAAACTTAAGCATGGTTGTGTTTTTTAATGGAAATTAAAAATATATTATCCTTCTGCCTATAGAAGTGTTGTACTTGTTATTTTATACAGCATTTTATGTGTAGTGTTTTACAATTCCATTTAGCCTATGCAACAATACCATCAGTTTTGCAATACTTAAGAATTGTGCAAGTGACAGTAAATTGGATTTTATTTTTTTGAGATATGCCTCCTATATCATCACAGTTTTGGCAAATTAGAAATCTGGAAAACAAAAAAAAAAGAACGTGTTGGAAGCAAAATGTCTTTATTTTAGAGATTTAACTTTGGACTTAAATAACATTTTGTTTAAAATTGAAACAATTTAGAAAATGTCAGAATGAGTTAAGTGGGGATGGGGAGTTGCATCATTGCTTTTGACTCAGACAATTCCATGTACTTAAAAGAAATTCACAAAATGTTCCAGTTTAATGCAATCTGTATGTTCTACCAAAAAAGTTTCCTCAATTACTTTCTTCCAAACTTATTTTAGCTACAGGGCCTGCTGGGAATACTTCTAGCACAAGTCACCAGGCGAAGTTGCTATGTATGTCTATTTCTTTTTTGCTGTTTTGGGGAACATAAGAGGAATTTTATTTAAGAAAGCTTTTATTTTTTCATTTACAATTTTTTCTTAGTAATGTTGAAAAAGCTCTGCCCTTTGAAGTGAGAAGAGTGCAGGTGAAAGTGTTTGCTGTGGTTTCGTGTGGGCTGAGATTTCTGGTAAAGAAGACAGCCAAGAAGGACAAACACCGTACTCATACTGCTACAGATAAGTAGGGTGGGAACAGCTCATGTCCACACTGCTTAGGGCTATCATTCTTTAGACTAGCATTTAATTCTTCATGCCCTGGAATTCTCCGTACCCCCATGGCCACAAAATATAACCATTATTTTCGGGAGGATGAGGGACATTACTGACCAAAGTACCTGAAGTAACATGAAGGAGAGCTATGCTGCATCTCACCAAAATGATCTTTTTATACAAGGATTCTGTGGGTAGATGTTGCATGCCACGGGATGTTGTATGCTTGCCTGCTCCTGTTCAGGATGGCAACGTGTGTGTATATTCAGTTCTGTGCGCTCACGTTCTGTAGTGCTGATTTCTGCTATGTTGGGAAGCAAAGAGATGAGAATTGTCCCAGAAATCAGTCATTAATATTTACTCCCCAAATAAATTAGAGTATTTGCTTATTTCATTTGATTTAAAAATTCATTAATCCCAAATATATACTTGTGCTTTGTATCTGAAAACCAGACTGATATTACTAAGAGTCTAAGTTTGCTCCTTTTTACTGCGTAAGATGATAATGGATAAAAAGAATTGGGGAATTTTTCCTTTCATTTTTCATGGAATGAAATTTATTTTGGTGTAGATGGCCAATGAGATCTTTGAGGAACATACCACTTAATTTCTACTTCAAGAGCTTCAGAAGAAGCTCTTTTTTTTTTTTTTTTTAATCTTTTCATGGATGAAAAGAGGCATGGTTGCCTCTCAGATTGTTTTTGAGAAAGGAATACACGTGTGAGTAAGGGCTAGAAGAACAGGCTGGCATTCGGAGGATCCTAATGGTGATAAAATTGTTGTTCTGCAATCAGAAAGTTAGATCAGCAGAGTGGATTTTCCCCGTCTTTCTTTCTTCTCTAAAGAACATTCTTTGAGCATGTCTGAAAGGAGTATGGCTAACTAATTCAGCTAATTGACAGTTCCTGACTCTGCCAAGTCAGGTTTGTTACTAAATGGCATGATTTAGGGCTGTCCTTCATGCCTGTTTCCCATATCCGCGTTGGTGTCTGCCAAGAGCTGAATAATCTGGCCATAAGTAATGAAAACATGCTTTATAGCTTTCATTTCATTTTGCAATATGCTTTTGTCATATTCTTTTGTGGCCTTAACTGAAAGAGAAAAATCTTGGGAGAACAAACAAAACTTACGGTGTGTCCTGGGAATGAACACTTCCAGAGGTTTTTGAATTGGTTGAGATCTGAATTAGAGGCTGTGAATCTACTGGGAATGCAAGGCAATGAAAACAAACAAAATGCAATTAAATTGGACCCTCTTAGCTTGAGCACTGTCTGTAATCTCTGCTGTAAATTTGTACCACTGGTGAAGAGGCAGTCTCAGAAGTAATTCTTACCGTTTAAGGCTTTTAAGGTTAAAACCAGCTTTTGCTCATAGAGCAAGGTACTAGCCAGTGAAGGCAGGGAACTATGAGAATACATTCCCTACAGAGGAATATCCATATCCACAAGCACTGACCCACTGTGTAACAACTGCAATTTTAGGGGTTTTGGGAGTGCATTACAGCACTCCTGTCTCTGAGTGAGAAGGGCAGGGACACAGTAAAACTACAGAAGGTTGTATCAGGGACGCCTTCTGCAAGGTGTTCCTCTTTTCTATCTGGAATAAATTTGAAGATCATACATTTCAGGTCAGACATCTGATTTTGAGTATCATTTATCTTTGAGTATCATTTATCTATGTTAGTTTCTCCATCATCTGTTCTGAGTTCCTTCAGTGTCCATGAGTAACATTCTGGGCTGGCAAGCCGGGTGCCCTTCCAGGGAACCGTTCCCAGCCATAGTTCCTGGACTAATTTTCTGATCTTCCCAAAATCTCTTTGCTGTTTCTCTAAGTTAGGGCTTAAAAATGCTCATAAGGAATTACTGAAATTTTGATCTTGCGATAGCCAAGCCTTTTCTGTTGGCACTACAAAGAGATTTTTTTCTCCTTTAGACAGCCATATGATATCAACACAGCATACCTTCTAACTGCATGCAATGATTTTTGCCAAAGGAAACATACCGAGTCGAGCTTCACCCACCCAGCGGAGTCGCTGAGTCCGAGCACTGTATCAGCCATCCAGCAAAGAAATCGAAGACATGAGAGATGGAAGAAACAATTGGTCACCTAATCTCTTTTTCTGTTTTGCTGGTCCTGTTGCCAGGGAGATATTGTATTAAAAGGAGTGGCCCACATATTCACTTCACTTATAAACTGCCTCATTGTAAAAACAGCATTTAAAAATAAAGTTTAAAATAAAGTTTAAAAATACTTGTGGACTGAAAATGTTATTGTGTCATTGTTTAGCCAAACTCAAATAATTTAATACTTTCAATATTCCTTGTAAATGATCCGTTCAGCTTTTGTGTGTGTGTGTGTGTGTGTTTCTCTAAATTTTGTCCAGGTTTTCCTACTGAAACTCACAGAGCAGAAAGAATTTATTCAAACAAGCACGTCTTTTTTTTTTTTTTTCTAAATCAAATTCAGGGGCTTGTTTATAGAGAGTGCATTAACACAGTTTGTTCCCTTTTCCACTTTTCTTTTCTTTGGCCCCTCTAGAAGTGTCCAGGACAGTCTCCCTCTGTTTTCCCTTTTGTGGAAATGGAAACTGGATATGGATTCAAATCCCCCTCCTTTTTATTTTTATTTTTTATTTTTTTATGATTTTTCTGTGGAACACCTGTGCTTGCTGATATGTTTGCTTCTAAGTTCAGAATAACTTAGTACAAATATTCATCAGGGTTAACATGACATTCGCTTGTTCTGTAAGCATTACCAAATTCAAGGAATGGGCAGGAGATCCAGAAGTCTGTTGTTAAAATTCGGGATTATTGTTTAGTCTTCTCTTCAAAGAAGAGATTTGGGAGGAATGCAGGCGGTCCTGGAAGAGAAACAGCTCTGCACCTGTAGGAGAGGGAAGCTCCATTCCTGGGCAGCGCTCAGCCTCATGCTCTGATCCCGTGATCTCATCCCCTTTTTGATGAGTTCCTTCATAACTTCCCCACAAACTTCTGTAGAGTGTCTTAAACACCAGGAGGACACAGCATGTAATTTGTAATTTGACCACAGCAAAGCTTCTGAGAGCAGCAGTTCTCTCGAGAATTAAATGCCTCTCCAAGTTTCTGTCACTGCTCCCACCAGCTGTCCGTGGGCCAGCGCTGTTCCTCGCCATACGCATTACGGTTGATCCTTTGTCATCAGTTTCCTGCAGCCTGTCGTGGATCATTTTTGTGCTGCATCCGGTTCTTCGAGAATCTTACTTTTGGTGACAGGGTAGATATTGTTTCTTTCATCTGATGTTCCTCACTCCTTGTACAAGTCAGTTGGCCATGAGTACAGGAAAGCCTAAGGTGTATATAGTTGTCATAAGAAATAAAGTTACTACATTGTGAATTGTGATTCATTTTCCTGGTAGCACACGGTGTGGCATACACCGTTATGGCTTGTGCAGCTGGGGAGCGGTTATGAAGAGGACCAGGGGGAAACTGCAACCCAGCTGGTTATTTTATACGTTCGGTTTTAGAGGTTATGTGACAAGAAGCTCCAGGGCAGTGTTTCTAACTTCAATTACTGCTTCTGCCAAAGCTGGAGAGAGCACTGGAGTGAATTGACCAAGGCGAAGGGACTGTACAGGTGGTAGCCACCTGGCCTGGCACATACACTGCGTCTTGTCAGAACCTGAACACCTTCCTCTGGCCTTGAAGGAAATTGTTATCCTGACAGACTACATATGTGCTAGACACACAAATCCATCTGTTTTGGAACACCACAGCCTCAAGATTTCTGCAGAGGTACATGAGGTAAGATACAGGGCTCTCTCATCATACGTGGTTTCCTCTAAGTCACTGCCAAATCTGGGACCCAAATCCTGTTGGAAATTGGACATTGTCCCATTTGCTTAATGAATTCGCTAGCAGATAGCTATAAATAAAAGCAAATGTTAAGCAAATACAAATGTGAAGTTTCCTAGATTGTTACTTTATAGAGGCAAATTTTTTAATGTCCTGAGAGTGTCAGCAGCCATTATCTCCTGAGAGCCCACAAAGCTGAGGAAATAGATTGAAAAACATTTCTGATGCTGCAGAAAATGAAGTGCATTGATTTTCATTAGTGACGTTCACATTATCTCATGGTTTATGATTTTTGAATCTGAAGTACTGACAAGAATATTTACAGAAAACTGGAGCACCCTGCATTAATATTCACTTATGTTGGCATCTATAGCCCTTGAACTATAGTCATATCTTTCTGCCACACTCAAAAGGTCTCTTAACTAGCCACGCAATATTAAAAACAGTTAGAGCTTTTGCAATGATGTGCAAACAACACTTAGATAAAAATCTGTACAACAGGAGTCCCATTGTGCGTTTCAGGGATTGGCTGCTTAATGCCCAGATTATGAATAAATCTAGAAGCTATCATTTGCTCCATTGGAAAAATTATGAATAACAACAATAACAACAAAGCAAAACAGTCACATTATAACCAGACTTCAGATCATTTGCAAGGAAAAATAATAATGAGGAAGTCTTTGAATAAATATGAGCAAGATAGTAATTTGGCCACTATATCTATCCATAATAGATGAGATTGGTTGGAGATAGATCCTTGGCTGGTGCAGTAAACATAGCATAAACATAGCAGGTGCTATGCTGTGTATCCTGTGGTGGTTTTGTAGGGGGAAATTAGGAACTGTAGATGGTGCCACCAGAGCCAGGAATGGAATATCATGCCCTTTATATCAAAGCATACGGTCAGTAAACTGCTTTCTGTACCACCCCATGGCCACAGCGGTTTCAATAAAATAGCAATTATGAACTCCCTCAGTAGTGATGCTGTCATCAGGATCAATCTGAAGGTAGATTTCCTTGTTCTTAGAACATTCTGGAACATCAGAACCACTAATGGATGGTACTGTGTGTTCCTAATATCTGTCGATCCTGGTGGATGATGATTATTCTGCAAATGTAATTCTAAATGAAAGAGAAAATATTGAAAGAACTGCAAGGGTGAAAAGGGAGTAAAACTTCTGCTTAGTGAAAAAGATGGAAACATTCGGTAAATACCCAGTCACTTTTCGGTGAACGGAAGAGCCACCTTCTTTTCAAAGGGAAAAAACACCTCTCGGATTACTTGCCATCCGTGCACAAGTTGATTTTCCTGTGAGGAAGTTTAAGTAAAAAAAGGAGGAGAGAGGAAGGGAGGAGAGCAAAGCAAAGCAAAGCAGAGCTGTGCTCTGCCCCATTTCCTCTCGTTTGCTTGCTCTGCTCTTTAATCTCTGCAGCAGCTCACATAGGTGTTAACAAGACTGGCAAACACAGCTGGTGTGTCCTGCCTACTGACACCCATTTGGCCTTCAGTACCAATGCCAAACAATTATAAATGGCTGTAAAGTTCTTTTAGTTCATAAAAATTTCCAGAAATATTTGCTTCGGTATAACCTTTCAGTTTAAATACGGCACAGACAGCAGGCTAGGTATGCAAAATCCATGGCTACAGAAGTATGTTTGAAAGTCTCTAGGCCACAAGTCTGTTTCTCTTGCCAAGAAGAGAGGAAAAATTTTATAAACTGGAAACAGAAATAAAAGGAGGTCAGGGACAAACCAGGAGAAAGGAAAAGAGGAATTACAGAAATACAGGCAGAAAAAAGACACATATTAAATAAATAAATAAATAAACACAACTTTTTAATCAGTTGTTATGTCAAAACCTATTCAAAACCAATCTCCAAGAACAGTCATGGGCTAATAATGGGATCTTAGAAAGTTCAGCAAAGCAAATTTTATAACTTAGAAACTGCTTTGCAGGAGTAGTTTGCTGATACAATACATATGGTAATTATTAATTAATCATTATTTATATTAAATATTTTAATAAATACTAGATAAAGTGTTTATAATAGATATTATTGAAGCTTCCTATAATACTATGTGGTAGGGACAGTACAGACATAGAAGAAGACACAAGCTCTGATCATGACAGCTTGGAACCTAAATAATATTAACAAGCTTATTACATCATAAGGAAGACATTAGTTGAAGCTGAAAGCAGGAGTTGCCGTGTCTATGATCAAGGTAAATGTTTTCTGCAAGGCACTCTTAAGCCATTTTTCTCATCACTCCAGGTTTCATAACTAAGATAAAAGAATGTGCATACTGCACCATGAGAGCTCATCCAAATATTGTCTCAGCAATATCAGGCTGTTTTAAATAAACATGAGTTCTTTGTAGACAATCTATTTTCTTTTCATTTTCTTGAAAATACTATTCGCTCTTTCTCATATAACATGATTTCTTCCTTTTCTTCTCTCATTCTGTTTTCATGACTTGAAATGTTTTCATTTGAGTTATTTGATAACATCTATTAATGCAAGTCAGGGCATTTAATATACATGTAAGTGACAGATTTTAGTATAAACTCTAAAACTTTTAGATCTTTTTTTGTGAACACAAAAAAAAAACAACACCGCAGCATTTTAAGAAGGTGATATTTTTTCTCAAATCCCCTTTTTTTTGATAACAGTCAAACTAGATTCGGAAACATTTACCGCAGAGATAGCTCTAGTTCCAGTGAACAAGTGGAAAGGTAGTGCCAGGTTGTATAAAAATTAGTATCCTGGATTATGTTAGTTTTACAATTTAAAATTATCAGTCCAGTTAATGTACAAAACCTCTTAATTAGTAAATAAGGATTCTATCGGCGGTTAAACATTAGTTGCAAAAAGACTTAATGGAGCAGCAATTTAGAAAAAAATGTATAGTAATTTTTTATGCTACTAATGTTTAACAGAAAAAATATAGGCATTATCTTTTTAAAGCATGATTATCTGACATAATTCTAAACAAACTTTTGGTCATGTCTGATGGTTTGGCTTAGCTAATTATAAAGATTATGAAGGCATATAATATTTTGTGATGTAGACAAACCTCTAGATCAGCATCTATAGGACAGGTAACAAAATCACAGAAACCATTACAATGAATGATTTTGTTACTAGCAGTATCAGAGCAGAGACTGGGGTCAAAGGACTAAGAGACAGCTCGAAGACCTAAGGATTTTGGCTGAGTAGCCCTGAAAGCTCTGTACTCTCTCTGATGTGATTATTTGGGAGCATTCAAATGAGGACTTTTACTTATAACAAAAGAAGAGGGAGAAGATTCTCTTGTAAATTCAGTGTATTTTTTTTTCCTTTAATACAAAGTTTTAAAACATATAAAAACAAAGTATTAAACAGTTTAGAACATGTTAAATATGAATGGAGAAACATCTCATCACCAAG